TACATAACTCATTGCTTCAAAAAAATGAATATAGGTGACGATCCACGGGTTCCATCCAGTACTCAAAGGCTATCCAATTCCCCGGAGTGACAAGATTGAACATCATGAAAAATATATGATAGCTATGCTTGCACTATTTAAACCATGGTCTCACAATGAGCAAAGTCCATTAAAGACACCTGAGGAGACTTGGGATACTGCCTTCAATACTTGGAAGAATACAGACTTATTCAAAAGTCATATCAAGATCATTAACAATATGCAGTTACTGTATGAATCCAAAGATGCTAAGTTAGATTATTCTGCTCAAAGACAGAAAAGATTTGCAGAGCTTTCCCACAAAGTAACATCAGAAGAAGATGATGGTGAAAGTCATATATATGATCCTGAATGGGAGAATGCCATGCAAGCACAAGTACCAGTTACAATTGATAATGATATATTACAGGAAATAGATACTTGCAATGATATATCACAAGAAGCACTTGACATTATTGAAGCAACAGCCCAGAGAGGATTTTACAAGGGAGAGTTTGATTCATCTTCACAAAAGCAACTGCAAAACTCATATCTCAACTGTACACATGTTGCCACTTTGCTTGACAAAGAAGCAGCTGAAAATTCAATCAATAATATCATGAGAGAAAAAGAGTGTCTTATTAAAAGGCGCTTGGAAGATGCTATTAGGAAACCTAATTCCCAACTACATCATCGCTTACCAACTAGTCATATACCTTCTCCTTTTGCTACTGAGTTGAACAGGGAGATTGAACATGCTCAAGAGCTTTTTATGAAATTTCATCCAAATTCATCTGCATGGGATGAACTCAAATTTTACCAGCAGCTGGCAATTGCACTGATTCACAAATATAAACTGAATGATAAGCAAACTCTGGCTTTCTTATTACTAGCTGATGCTGTAGGGCAGCAGTCACTTATAGATAAGCCTTTAGATCCTTTGTGAATGCTAGTTACTGGTCCAGGTGGAACTGGAAAGTCCTGCATTTTTGCTGCATGGTCTGATTTTCATGAAGGAATTAATTGTAAGGATGAATTCCGGCTCACAGCTCCTACAGGTGTTGTGGCAAGTCAAATTGGTGGTTGCACAATACATTCAGAGGCTGCATTGCGGGTTGCTCGATCAACAATGAAGGCTGATACTGCAGGTGGACAAAAAATACGAAGTCAGTTAGAAAAGCGGTTTGCCCCTATACGTACATTGGTAGTGGATGAGATATACTTCATGAGTCCAGAGAATGTTAGCCTTCTTTCTGAATATTGTTCTATTGCAAAAGGCATAACTGAGCATCCATTTGGAAAACTAAACATTGTGACCTGTGGTGATCCAGCTCAACTACCACCACCAAGAGCAAAACCTTTGTTTGACCATGAACTTGTGAAATGCTATGAATCAACACGTCTGAATGCATTGAATAACAAAACACAGTATGAAGTTAAGGGAATACAAGCTTGGCATCAAATAGATAAAGTTGTTGTTCTCTCAGAAATAATGCGTCAAAAAGGAGATAATGTGTTAATTGACATTCTCAGCCGATTACGCACTGGTACTTGTATCCAGGCAGATAAAGATATTCTGGATAAATATGTGCTGAGTAATGAAGCATGCTCTAATGAGACAAAGAGCCTCGTTGACATCACACAATGGATAACAAATCCTGAAAATGCATGTCCTTTAATTACTTATACAAATGCAGCAAGAGATTGTTAAGATCATGTACACTGTGTAACCGTGCCAGAGCCACAGGGTGTCTAAGTGCGGAAGACGAGTGGGACAGTAGTGAAGTTATTAACAACACCGCCGTTACGCCGTTAGTCCCCGGAGATCGAGAGTAGAGAAGGGAGGAACTGAGAAGCAGCCAAGTCGGAGCGGCGGTATCGCCGGTGACGAGGAGCGGGCCAAAGAACTTATAAGTCCAAAGGCTGTAGAGAGAGTACTTCAAGGCGTTGAGCCTGAAGACTTAGAGAGGAGCTAAGTTGAGAAGGGAGATCTAAGTTGATCTAAGTTGATAATTAAACTAAGGAACTACAGTAGCGTACAGGCAGTATTTATATCTACGGAGCGGCGCATCGGTGCGGAGCGCCAGACTAACTACTAGGAGCTATACGAGTAGTACCTGCAGGGTAGAGTAAAAGACAATAAGGAGAGACTAGAACGAAAGAGTAAAAGACAATAATGAGAAACTAGGACGAAAGGATATGTGTAGCGAGAAAAAACAATAGGAAGAGATTACAATAAAAGCAGATCTTCGGAATACCGAGCGGCGGAATGGAGGCCCGCGGCATGGACTTGACAGAGATGCACACAATTTTGAGTCAGCAAAAGCATTTGCCAGAGTAACAGGTCAAGAATTCCATATTTGTCATTCAACTGACACACGTGGACGTGGCAAAAATAAAAAAGTCATCAAAGGTATTGCAGCTGAAGCTGCATGGAAAATTCCTGTGAAAGATGCTCAGGATCTGGGGGGTAAGGTACCATATATTCCAGGAATGCCAGTCTTTGCAACTGAAAATATTGCAACTGAACTAGGTTTGTCAAATGGTAGTCTAGGTACATTGGTTTCATTAACATATGAAATACATGATGATAGGTATTATGCAGTGTCAGCCACTGTAGATTTTCCTGGATACAAGAGCAATGATCCAGTGCACCCAAACCGTGTCATTCTGAAGCCAATCACTCAAAGTTTCAAATTTCATTTGCCAAATTCTGAGAAATTGTACTCAGCAACTCGAAAGCAGCTTCCTTTGATTCCTGCTTTTGCCTTTACATCACATAATGCCCAGGGCCGTTCAATGAATGTAGCCTGCATAGACTTTGCTAGTTGCCGCTCAATCCAAAGTGCATATGTGATGCTTTCTCGTGTCCGTTCATTGAAAGGTCTCTGTATCTTACGGCCATTTAGTATCAACAAAATTAGAAATCACATTTCAGAAGAACTACGATCTGAGTTAAAGAGAACTGAGAACCTGGCTGCAAAAACAGCACAGGCTGCAGAAAATGACTTGTCATGGTATTACTCAAGGTTTCCAGCACAGGCTAAGTAGAGTGTCAACAGCTAATAACAGCTGTTGATAATTCTTATGTAGCTACTATTTTCATATTTCTTGAGTTTCATTTTTCATTAACCATCATTCCACTTCCTGTCCTAATGGCCAATGGTTGCCAAGGGCAAGTTTATCCCAGAACATGCCTCTGCCTGACATCTGGCTTGGTCACCCAGTTGTATTTGCTGAAGGGGGCAGCAAAAAGTGGGACAGGCATGCTTCTCATAGTGGATCAAACTCTGCACCGAATGCATCAGAAGCAAAAGGGACATTTTCACTTCTCTGGGAATCTTTGTTTTTACTTACTCTATGTTGTTTTCTTGTAATAGTAAGTTTGTAATTGAAAATGTTCGGCACCCGCCGCTTGCGGCCTTACCCCCCAGTCATTTTACGATTTTACGGATTGGGCTCAATGGGTCGTGTGACAAGAATTTCCGAAACGTCTGTAATTTCAATTTTCTTTTCATTTTCGAAGATGGCAATGTTCAGAAAGCCCAAGTACATCCCCAACTGAGTGAATTTGTAACACAACGAAGCACCAACACAATTATCTCACTCCTCCATTTCTAATCAGACCAATCCTTGCAGCCAGCTGCTTCGTCTGCCTTTTTTGCTTATGCAGACCTAAAATGTAGCCAAATTTCAAGATATGGGTAATCTTAAGGGATCTGCAGGGGGTGACCCAATGGTTCTATCAAAGACAAATACTGGGTTGTATGCTGTTGTATCCCAAAAAAATAATCACTCAAAAACTGGGTGAGTTTACATTACTCGTGCCTATGCACATTGTAGCACATTGTGCGCCATAACCCCTCAAAAAAATTTCACTCAAAACAAGGCTGGTAGTCGAGTGAGACCATTGACATGAGGGCTCATCATGATAATATTTCTGTTGGAAATATACAATGTAGAGACACTTTGGCCCTGCTGTTCCCTTGTGGGACCCTGTCGTCGACGGTATCTATCCATCTATCTATGCGCCCTGAATGGTGCGCCAATCTCCTATTCTAGGGACCGTATTCATGATCGCAGATGTGTGCTTCACAGAATTTGGGGCGAGTAATTGGAGTGTAATTGGTCCCATGAAGAGAACAAGAAGCATGGCCTAATCTACCAGTCAACACTGCCCTATGATCTATCCTGCCTAATCATCCTCATAATGGTTCTTCGCTCGAACAAAAAGGAAATTGAGATCTGCAGGCACACTTTGAAAAGTTGCTTTATTTCAAAGGTCCCACAGCTCATCGTCCCTCACGAGTCACCCAGCATAGCCATATTAGAGAGTTCACCCACCGCAGCGCGCCCTATACGCGCGGCATTTTTAACCTACAATTTACTAGTACCAACAACGGTGTGGTCCACGACAGTGAAGCATATACCAATAGGGCAGTAGACAGAACGATTGAAAGCAATACGAAATGGAAAAGACTTGAGCTTGATCTCTAGCTAGCTTTATGACTCCGATTATCTCCGACTCAGGAAGACCGAAATTCCTGGCAAGTCAGGCTACTACAGTATGTTCTTCGATATTTCAACCCCAAAATATATTTCTCGGAGACCCTGGCTCGCTACCTTTCACATGTAGTGGAGGCAGTGGGCTCGGCTGTTCCCTTGTGAGCATTTTCGGACGGAGCCACGTATCTATATGGACCATCTATCTACATCTGATCATTGATTCTCATTATCATGACACCATGACATTACAGTGACATTATTCGCGAAGCAATCCGTTCTAGAAGATTTTAATTTTTAGTAGTATGGCAGAAGCGTATAAAAGTGGGATAAGTTCGAGTAGTTCTACTTCATCTGCTCTCACCTGCTGGACCAGTCGAGCGACAACTATTTGCAGGCAAAGAATAACCTTATCGCTTCACTCTAAAACCTTCTATCTCGAATCTTCTTCTTCGCTACTCTCCTTCGAAATTTTCACCATGCGTCTCGCGCCTGCTTTGATCGTGGCTAGTATTGCCCTGTTTACTGTCGTGCATGCAGCGCCTCACGCCGTTAGTGTTTATCTTGACGTGTCGTCGTTCTTCTACTCACCGTCTTTTTTTTCTCAGGCTACCAGACAAACTACGACCTCACCGGAAGAGCCTCTGGCATCACTGCAAAGTCGAAAAGCAAAACCTAAGCCAAGACCGAAACCCCTAGTTCCACGGCCATCGCCAGGATCCCAGAGGCATCCGTGAAAATTTGGGTGTTTTCGGTACTTTGGATCTTTTTAGATTTGTTAGTAAAAGTGTCGGGTATGCAGCCATAACTACATTTATATGTTTCCACTCACTATTCCATTCACAGAGTTATTGGAGCTTCCCTTTTCATTTATGTTCATCTCTCCATGGTTATCTAGACTGTAAATTAAACCTTCCTTTGACTCATGAGCCCTGAAATGGTCCTGACGCCGCGAAGATGTTATCGCAAATATTCGGTGGTATATAAGCTTGAAGTTAGCACTGTGAAGTTGTGATTTTACTCGCCCAAGGATGTGAAAGTACAAAGATTTACCGTCCATGCATATTTCCCCGAAACGATATTTATCCGGCACCTGGCCGAACATAGAGCAACGCCAAGCCTGCGCACAAATATGGCTTCCATGTTATGAATCTTCATTCCTCTTAAAAGACGGGTATGAAGCTTCGAATTTACGTTCTTGGATGGAGAGCACCATGACGCGTCCTTGATATATACTCGTACACCGACGACTTCTTGTCATTAAAAGTAGCTAGGTCACCTTCGTTAATGAATCGAGCTTGGCTAAAGAACATAGAACACAAACCCCCTTCTCTTTTGGAAACAAATGTTCACGAAGTCCAAGTACATCCACAGTTAAGTCGTCTCAAAGTTAAGTTCCTCAGGCTGTCCTTCGCAATTAATAATGATCACCATTTCAAAAGGGCAGAGCACGGACCCAATTTGCAACGCAACGAAAGCGCCAACATGATTATCTCGCTTCCCCATTTCTAATTAGACTTATTCTCGCAGCCAACTGCATCGTTTGCAGCGCGTGTCGTCTCCTAGGCCTGATATATACCACTAACATCGCGCTGACAGCAAAAAGCACATTACATGCAATGAATTCGTACAAATCGGCTCGCTCGCTCGAGATGATGCGCCCGCACCGACTATAGTTGGAGGGCGCGATGAAGGGTGGGGAGGAGCTGTAATCTGAATTGGAATTCGGATTGGGATTTTGCTGCCGGTCTGGTGGAGGAAGACGCGGCCGTAGAAAGAAGCGAGAGCCCCCGTGATAGAAAGACGAGGAGAATGAAGATGAAGAGGCATTATGGCAATGCATCAATCACCGGTTGCCGAATGGTTGACAGAAAGGTTTATCGAGCTGTTGTAGTATATGATCTTCGTAAATCATACCGCAAGAACACGAAGGTTGACACCTCATCTGGAGGGCAAGGTTCGCATTCACCAAATGGAAAGCATATTAGCTCTCGGTGGGTGTTATTCTGAGGGCCCGTGTCAGCGTCGATACTCGCAGCAACCGTGAGGAAAAGAGTCCAAGATAGTTGAAAGACTCATTGGCTAACCACAGAATACTATTTACTCCGCTCCTTAACTGTATATCACCGTATTCGCTGCCAGCGTCGACAAAAGGCACATCTGAAGACCATCAAAGTTGACCGTGGTGGCCCGTTGAAGATAAAATCGTGGGATTTCGTGACACTGACAATTCACTCTTTCAATTTGGATTCCGCTTTCAAGTTCAACTTTAGCATCGAAGCGTTCTTCCATCAACCTCAATATTTCACTTGGATATGTCCAGAAAAGCAGTCCTGGTGGAAGATTAACTTGACGACCACACATACCTTCCTTTACCTGCTCGTCCACAACGAAATGTTTACAGTGTACACTGGCAGTACTATGTACATACAAGTTCCAATTTCCTTCATTGTTCCTTGTTTCCCTCAATTTGATACAGATATTCACAGTACGCAGGTAGTTGTTTTCTATGCCAAACGTCCTATAATGTTCATCATTCCAGCTTCCGCAACAGGGGCTCACGTTCTAGGGAAGCGAGAGGAACAACGGAATCAACTTGGTGACGTTGGGGGTCCCAACGCCTAATTCAAACAGAGCCTTAGTAACCAGTTATAAGTTCCAGTTATTAGTTATACGCACCTGTAACAGGATCCCAGCCGTCCGTACTGAAGATAAGAGCAGAGTAAGGTTTTAATGCACACCGCCCAACTCGAATTGTCAATACTACTCACGCGGTGAACCCTACTGTGTCTACGAAGAGGAGAAGAATTCAGAGCATGATGGGCAGGCTTAGTGTTATAATCACTTACTGCAGCCTTGATTTGTCCCCATCGTAATATCATTGAACGCGTCCTGGAATTGATCAGAGTAAATCTGCAGGATAGGGGGTCTTTAGAACGATCTTTTTTTTTTGTGGAAAGAAACGTACAGCGGGGTTGATGAATCCAACAGGACCTTTTCCAGCAGCGAGTCGAGCATCGTTAACCATTGTAATGAACGATCCCACAACAGGTGAGGAACAGGATGTTCCAAACACCAGCTCGAATTCCCCGTCAATACCTACATACATCGCGCTGAATTAAAAAAAAAAACTTGGGATGGTTTCTCTTAGATCGTAGCTCACCTATGACGTAGTTGGCACTATGATAGTAGATAGAGGCCTCTTTAGAACCAAGCAAAAAGAGACGAAGATATTTTCGAAAAAACACATACCCGTTCGCTGCTAAATCTGGGAAAGCACGAGACTTTGGAGAGAGAGGGAGGGGATGAAGGATCGTGAGTTGGGGGGTTTCTCGAAGAAAGAAGAGGTACATACAGTCCCAGAATTATTAAACTGAGCAGAAGTATACGGAGGCGGGTGGTTCGTCAAGAACGACGAGACCGCAGTTTGTTGATAGTCAGGGATCCTGGGGGGTGGGGAAAAGGAAAAGTGAATAGTATCCAGCATCAGCCAAGGGAAACCGTGTCAAGAAAGACCACCTGGACTAACGCGAAGATATTTGAGAACCCTCCTCCCGAAAAGATAACCTGTTCGCATGCGCCTTCTGGATCAAACACGGTCGATCCTGGGTTGACTTGCGTCGCTCCCGCTGCAGTGACGAACGGACAGGTAGCCTGAGAGTAAGCACAGACTTAGTACGGGGAAATGCGGATATAGCACACGAATCAATGCAAGTGTGTGCGAAACTTACCGGGAAATCAGGATTGAACATAGACCCGTTCGCCACGGGCTGTCCTACGAAAACAAACCCGCACGGAGATTAAGAAGCTTTATGCACGCGGGTACGGATAAGACCCATGTTGGTATGATATCCATACCTTGAGAGTTGAGACACACGCCTCCGTTCCCCGCTACGCCGTTATCTCCACTCGAATACAGGATAGTCGTACCCATGAGACCTAGCTTCCCATATTCGTTACATTGACGCGTGGCTGAGAAGGCGGTTATTGTTGATTCGTCTTGGCCGTAGGAGGTTGAGACTACGAAAGGGGGTGCGAGGATGCCACAGGATTCTGGACCTGGTGATACATAGTACGTGGGTAATTTAGGGTGGACGTGATGTATCGAAAAGAGAAGCCAAATCACCTTTGAACCCTCCAGGCAGTGGATCAGGGTAAATACCATCCTGATAATACGCAGACAATTACAATCTGAAAGTCTGTTAGGAAGGGGGGTTGGACACACACCTGGGTAGGATCATCACCGCCTTCGAATGTACAAAACGACCCATCAACAGCATCCAGCCAATTATCGAATCCAGCACCTATTAGAGTTCTCTAAATAAACACACACTTTGAATATTTCTCCGACAACTTACCCTCGACAAGGTCCCCGGTCTGCAGCAGAGTGACCGTTTGTGGGTTCACAAGAGACATACCATATTCCAAGTCCAGGTCCGATTCACCGTTGAAATCGAAACTTTGGTTGGTAGTTTGAACGACGGCTAGTAGTATGCGATGTTTTTTTAATAAGAGTGGGAGGTATAGGGAAAAAATTGGAGAAAATAAATACTACCTCCGTCGATGAGTACAGTCTTGGGACGAACACCGACCAAACTAGGAGAAAAATTACTGACAAAGGAGTAGGAGTGTAAGCTCAACACGACGAGCCCATTGCATCGACACTCACGAGAAGAACAAATCCAAATCACCAGCCAAAAACGCTTGAGGGGTGAATTCCACTACATAGCGACAGAGAAAGAGAGAGCCGGTTAGTTAATCTTCACGAAAAAAAATGATAATAAAACCACTCACGTATCCCATACGAATTCGTATCCGTGGAAACAGGATTAAAATCCGGCACATCATACAACGCCTTCAAACAATCCAACGTGATCATTTTATCGCAATTCTCCAAACTCGGTGGAACGGGGGTGGCATCTGGGCTTTTCTTTGGTCCGACAGTGGATACACCGGGTTTCCCGAGGTTCGCACCACTGGCAGCGCGTTTGAATTTCGTGGTTGTTTTTGGAGAAGGACGATGGTTGAAATGAACAGTGGGTTTGATGAGGTCGATATGTTTGCGTATGTCGGCTGGGACAGAGTAGGTTTCGCAGCCTGCAGTGGAAAGGGAATTAAATCAAGAAACTCTATCTGATATGATGGTTACCCACTAATCTGCTCTTCTCCCGTCTCAACATGCTTATACACATGATACTCCGTCCCCAACAACCTCTCCACCTCCTCAACACTTGCCATAACCTCTACCCACCCCTTATTCGCGCTCGTCCGAATCTTCTCTCTCTCGAACCCAAAGTCCCTCAACCACCCCACCACACTGTCCACACTTTCCGCTTTCGGTTTAAACGTATCCACGACCTGCTGCGGCGTCCAGTGTTTCCCGTAGTCCGAGGAATCGGGGTGGGAAACAGCCATGAGGAGGTCCGAGATCTTGTCGATGTTTTGCTGCGTCAGCCCGATGCGGAGAGGGAGGATTTTGGAGGGGGAGGGTTTGTGGGAGAGGAACCAATCGAGAGGGTCGGCGGCGCGTTTTTCGTGTACGACATGGGGCACAGAACCGGTACTACTATTAGTAATAGTGGACGAAGGTGCAGAGATGCTGGAAGGAGCAAGGGTTGCTGCTAGTCCCAAGGTAAGAAAGGCCAAAGGGAGATGCATATTTGCAGTTTGAGAAGAGGGTTACCACTGAAGCGGTAAGATCCAATACTCAAGGAAAAAAACCCTCCAACCATACGGCAATCCATTAAATACCATCCGTGAATTCTAAATTAGCCTTAACCCGATTCGACGACAAAAGCCCATAGTCTGATTAAGTGTTAGTAAGACGGGTGGGTGAAGGAGGCTCTAGTAAGTAAGTGAGAATTCGAAGCATATTATCATCGCTTCATGCATATGGGTTATCTCGCTTTGAACCTTATGGTACCACACTAATAGGGATGCCACCGGGGATTGGTGAATTTTAGCCTGAAACTTTTGGATAAGCCACTGAGAGTTGGCCTAGAATAAAAATAAAACAACCTCTGACCGCCGACTTGGGACCCTTGAGCCTGAAGCTTAATGCATTGATGAGTCCTGAGTACTGAGTCGTACTTGACCGGATGAGTTTTCGAGGTCGGTGACACTGAATCTAAAAATACAGTCGGGGGATAGCGAAAAGTATGAATAACAATCCCAAGCTTCACCCCCAAGTTCGTCTTGACACGGTCTGTTTTAGGCTGTTCGCGTGTTCCATACGTACGTGTTGGAAGGAATCAGAACCTCCAGAACCCCCGAGTCAGTTAGAACTTCGGGAGTTGAATACATACTTAAGCTTCTTCGAACTGGACCGAACGGCGTCCGGGAAAGTCGGTGGGAGTCGAGGAGGAGAAGGTGAGAGGAAGTTCCCAATCGTTCCTAGTACAAAGTCAGTATTGTCTTTTTCAAGGATTGTTCATCATGATTCGGATAACAAGGAGCCCGCCCGGCCATAGCAAATAGCTACTATACTTATTGTTATGAAAATAAAGTTAGAAAGCACCTAGACAGAACCACGTACTGCCATGTATTAGTAGTAGTAAGCAGAGCCGCACAGAACTCACCTCCGTGCTAGTTCTTTTTTTATCTGTGCCTTCTGCTAACACACGACGACGACGGATTCGCGGTGGGGGAATTGTTGAATCAATCAATATGTCGGTCAATCATCGAACGATTGTTGACGTTAAGACATAAAAAAACGGGACTGATCCTACTGAAAGAGATAGAAGAGCTCGCTTTGAACTCTTTTGAAGTCCACCATGTGTGTCGAGTCCCACCATGTGCGTCAAAGTTCAAATGAGTAGCGCAATATCAGAGAGTATCGAATGGCCTCTTTCCAATATCAATGATCTCGAATGGTTTTCTGATTTCACAAGAAAAACTACTGTAATTCAAATTATGAGTTAGTTCAAGTTGCCCTATACAGAAGCGACTCAGTATTGTTCATCTCGAAGAGCGGTGATTCCTGGACGGGGGAGGAACATTGCTTAGCTGTGTCATTAGAAGTTGGAGCAAGGAGAGTACAGTTAAGCCCTAACCTTCCAATGCTTTCCGTAAATCTGTGAGGTCATGTTTGGCACGAACAATCACATGTACAGTGAATCGTGATCTTGCAGTCTTTTCACTGGAACATTTATCTCGACATTGAGCATCTTAAAACAATGCAACATATATGGTGCATGCTCGGCCGAAATCTTCAAGTATCAGCTATTAGTACTGCATATTGTAACAGAACGTCCTAATTAGCATGCCTCTTACTTAAACATACTTACTATCTATGTCCTATGCCTTACAATAATTACCCCTTTTAGTTGTCATATATTTCTACATATATAAGGGGTTTCAATGTACTCAGTATGATAGGTTCTCCAGAATCATTTCTATCAAGCACATACACCAACCTGTGTAGCAATACTGTGACCTCATCACTCTACTGTTACATATCTTGAACCCCCAACAACTGTGACTTTTCTCTCTAAAAACACACCCCCGACATCCATCACTGGTGTCCCCAGGTCTGATCAGCCCAGGACTCGGACAATGGATACCAAAAAAATATCAGAACTTGAATACCATCCTTCACAAAAATCTTGACACTATCCTCGACAATGTCCAAGAATTTCAGTGTCATGCCCTGACCGCAACCAGACCAATGTAAGACCTGGGTCAAAATGGGTCTTAGGGTAGGTTTGGTATATGAAGTTTTATGTTGTAGCGTGCTAGGAGCAGGCTGGAGCTCGAAGGGAGCTACGAGAACCGCGACCGAGGACGGGAATGACCTAGTAGTGTCTGGAACGACGAGATGATGACCCTTGAGGGGGTCCCTAGGAGGTCCAGGGAGGTCCGTAAGGCGTAGGGAGGTTAAGGAAGAGTGCGGGACCGTACAGTATTGCGTAGTAGGAGTTGTACTCGCTAGAACGTCAATATAGGATCGAGTAGGTCGTATATGCAACTGGGTCTTGAGAGTGTAAGCTCCCGAGAAGGGATATGTCAGGAAGGGTAGGTCCCTGGGGGCTGAGCTTGAGGATGGACGTCCTCGAGTGTGGGAGGTGGTAACGGAGAAGCAATACGTAGTCTGACGTGAGGGGTAGCTTTGACGTTACCTAGATCGAGGTCCCGAAGCTTACGAAGTAGCTAGGGAGCTCTGGGAGGTTTGGGGAAGGGTAGCTCACCAAGGTGGGTAGGCGTTGGGGAGCTTTAGTAATGTTCGAGGGAGCTCGGGGACTCACTCGGAAGGCTTAGACTTGAAGTGAAAGCGTATATTCGATCGTATAGATGATCAGAGAGACAATAGACAGAAGTAGAGAGAAACAGAGGTAGAGAAACAGAGAGTAAAGAGAAATCCGTATGGTTAGCAGGTACAAAGGGACAGGGACTGGACCTATGCAAAAGGGTGTGTGTTCAAAATATACCAAGCTGGGGCTTTGGGACGTATCAGAGCTACTTAAATAGGTACAGGAAGTGATCAAGGGAACATCAGGGGCCATGAGGCGTGTAATCGAGATTAGTATCTTAATGGGGTAGGTGTAGGAGGGCTTCGACGCGTGTCGGGGGAGGTTTAGGAGCTGTCTTGGATAGGTACAGGCGTGGATCTGGGGAGGTACGGGCGTGGATCGGTACTGAGGGGTGAGAGTGTTTGGCTGATACTGGGGCTGTCCTGGTCGTCACCATTAAGAGGGCTGTGGATAATGGTCGAGGCATGACAACCAACCCCAGCACCAGCCACACGTTCTCACATTCCCTACCTATCTTTGCACCTCCCCAAGACAGTACCACCCCTTCCCTGATGTGTACCTACCCAAACGTCTTGATGACCATCCCGACACGTGTACGAAACCCGCCTACCACCAGCCCCATTAAGTACTAATCTTGATCACCTGCCTCATGTCCTCTAGACTCCCTGATGTTCCCTTGTTCACTTCCCGTACCTATTTAAGTAGCTCCGCAACGTCCCCAAGCCCCAGCTTGGTATATTTTGAACACACACCCTTTTGCATAGGTCCAGTTCCTGTCCCTTTGTACCTGCTAACTATACAGATTTCTGTTTACTCTCTGTTTCTCTATCTCAGTTTCTCTCTACTCTTGTCTGTCATCTCTCCGATCGTCTGTACGATCCAATATACACTTTTACTTCAAGTCTAAGCCATCTGAGTGAGTCTCTGAGTTCCCTCAAACAATACTAATGCTCCCCAACGCCTAAATGCCTTGGTGAGCTACCCTCCCCAAACCTCCTCGAGCTCCCCAGCTGCTCCACAGGCTCTGGGACCTCAATCGAAGTAACGTCGAAGCTACCCCTTACGTCAAACTACATACCGCTTCTCTGTTACAACCTTCAACACTCAAGGACGTCCACCCTCAAGTCCAGTCCCCGGGAGCCTACCCTCCCGGGCATATACCTTCTCAGGAGCTTACACACTCGAGGCCCATTTCCACTACGACCTATTCAATCCTATGTTGACGTTCTAGCGAGTACAACTCCTACTACACAACACTACTAGGTTCTGTACTTCTACCTCCCCTCCCTATGCTCTAGGGACCTCCCTGGACCTTATAGGAACCCCTTCAAGGGTCACATCTCCCTATCCCAGCCACTACTAGGTCATTCCTGTCCTCGGTTGCGGTTCCCGTAGCTACCTTTGAGCTCCAGCCTGCTGTCAAGTCCATGCCTCGGGCCTCCATTCCGCCGCTCGGTACTCTGAAGATCCACCTCTTATTGTAATCTCTCCTTATTGTTCTTTCTCGCTACACATACCCTTTCGTTCTAGTCCCTCCTTATTGTCTTTTACTTTACCCTGCAGGTACTACTCGTATAGCTCCTAGTAGTTAGTCTGGCGCTCCGCACCGATGCGCCGCTCCGTAGATATAAATACTGCCTGTACGCTACTGTAGTTCCTTAGTTTAATTATCGACTTAGATTCCCTCTTCCACTCTGTGCTCTCTAAGTCTTCAGGCTCAACGCCTTGAAGTACTCTCTACGCTACCTTAGGACTAGACGTCCTCTGGCTCGCTTCTCGTCACCGGCGATACCGCCGCTCCGACTTGGCTGCTTCTCAGTTCCTCCCTTCTCTACTCTCGATCTCCGGGGACTAACGGCGTAACGGCGGTGTTGTTAATAACTTCACTACTGTCCCACTCGTCTTCCGCACTTAGACACCTTGTAGCTTTGGCACGGTTACACGGTGTACATGATCTTAACAGTATAATTAAACTCAATCTGTTAACGTCGCACTGACATATCATTTTTTATGCCTCCGAAAACTCGAGCTCAATCTAGAGCTAACTCCGAAGAAAACACTTTCTTCACCACAGCCCAATCTTTTGCCCCATTCTCAGAATCTATTTCTGCCATCGGTCAACCACGTCGCCGTAATCGCGGTTTCGGTCCAGCTACAGTCCCTACTACGTCGACTCTTCCTGAAGCCATGGAAGAGGAACAACAATTCGAATACAGTACCTTGTACACTGGTGACGGACAACCTGTCCAAGTCCTGACCCCTCGCCGTGGACAACCCCCCGTGGTCGCTGTCGACCCCGACGATCCGGGCGCCGACAACAATCATGACGATCTGGATGACGACTCCGGCGGTTTACCGCGTGGTGAACCTGGTGACCCCAGTGGACCTGGTGGACCTGGTGGTCCCGGC